TATGAAAGAGAAATTAACACCAGAGGAAAGGATCAGTTTAATATTTATGTATAGAAAGCCAGATAAAACACACATGAAAAAGAACTGAATTGACAACACCCATACTTTCTCTGACAACTGATTGATATGTAGCATCTGGCCTTCCATACATGAAGATTAACCACTTCACTACAGAGACGCCACTTTTAATATTTTATTTGGTTAATGACAGATGATTTTGTTCAGCAGACGGGGTTAAATTGACTCTTTCCTCTAGTTAATTTCTCTGCCACTTTTATTGATTTCATGATTCCTTCACCAGAATAAAGAGATCAATTTTCCTAGTAATGCTCGACATCTGAGGCAATCTTAATGTATGATCAGTTCCCTTCACAGGCATGGAAACCCAATCCAGAACTTGTTGCATTCCTCACAGTAAACAAGTCTGGTTTAAGAAGTCCCCAAAAAGACAATGAAAGTCATTTTCTGTTTTGATACACTATTAATAAAACTTACAAATGGTGACATAAAGATGGTACCATATATCTGTAGTACCTGGCAGGTGAGAATCTATTAAGCCTCAATACCCCTAACTTCAAATAAAGGCTATACAACTGTACTCATAGGGTTGTGAACACTACTTTACTAACCCTCCTCAGAGAGACATCACCTAAAAGAGTCAAGTACATTATGATGCGACTTGACCCACTCCGTTTCAAGACCAAATGCCTCAACTTCAGTGCTCCAACAAAACCCTACATGCTAAATATATGAATTAAATAAAAAACTTGACTTCACACTATTAATCAAGGAACCTGAACTGGAAAGAATTTTAACAATATTATTAGTTTCCCAATCCTCCTCCTCCTCCTTAGTGAAACCGAAAATCAGCCCATCACCTAAATAAACAATACTATACAAGTAACAAGTCAACGCCTACCTGTTTCTCACTGAATAAACAAACCAGTATTGTGTCTCAGCATTTAATATCATCTGAATTAAATTAAATTAAACTGAAACAACAACAAATGAATTATATTAAATTTTAGAAGGTATGAACCACTGAACATTACTAAAAAAAAAAGACTTTGCAGCTAAGTTCAACAATAGCCAGCCTAGTTCAGTGAGGTCAGTGCTGCAACGCTCGGTGTGCCCTGATATTGTATCCTTATTCCCTATTGCTATATAATTAGATGCTTAACTAAATCAGACAGCTGATGATACATACAAATCAAAACAAACTTAAAGATCCTCCACTATGTTAGGTTGATTCAAGTACTTTGCTTTCATAATGAGTTCAATACTGTACTATATTCTGATAATGGGCTCAAGTTGTACAGCAGCACATATTAAGGATCCCATAAAGATTAGAAACGCCACTTATTTTACCTGATGATTAATGACGAACACTACCTGAGGATGTTAAGTTAGGCTGACATTAGGCTGTTTAATGGCACTATATTTCTAGCATTAGACAACATGAAAAAATCTAACCTAACCTACCTTCGAGTCATGTTTGTTTGAACACAGTATTTGCAAGTAAAAATGGTTCAGTGCCACAGGGAGCAGCAGCAACACCACAACTGTTTCAGTGTTGTACTACAGCGGTATTGTGCTTCCCTCTAACCACTCTGATATGAGTTTGATACCCTCCTGGGGCCACCTGAAATTTAACCACCCTTGATTTCCATCACTGTATTTTGTCTATAAATTAAATTAAGGTAATACTTGACAAGAGTAGTCCATCCTTAATACCTACTCGAGAAGATTTTTTAAGTAACGCTACTTTTTATGTTTCTTCTTCATAAATTGAAGAAAACTAAACTACCAAACTTAACCTACAATACTAATTATTTTCATTATTATTTTTATAAAATAATAAATTATTTTCTGTAAGAAGAACCATTGTTACAGGCTAAACAATGAAATACAAGGCAAGGTCGTGTATTTAACATCTTCCTTCACAAATTTTGGATGTAAAAATTTATGACACAAAATGCATTCCTCGTGCCCATTTTGTTATTTTCTCCAGTTAAGGAAGTTTTTACTTTCCATTAAGAAATTCCTTCAAATTGGTGCTATGGCTGGACCACTTGTTGTGTATTACCTACAAAAATCATTTAGTATACGGACAGTTGGGTTAGGTCAAGTTAGCATCAGGTGAAATAGGCGCGGATTCATTATACTAGTGAGATCCAATTAGAAATTTTTCCCCTACATAATTATTAGCAGTCATTATAAAACTTCTTATATGAATGTCACATTAACGTAAGTCAGTGATCATTTCTCCAATAATTCCCTCAAAAATTGTCTGAATAAACCAGAAAATTCAACTCTGGCATTAACAATATTCTCTCTATATGTTGTATACCTGCACTCTGTCTACATACAGGTTTTATTTTCTATGTTAACCTTTATGACCATTTTACTGAATATCTACCTAGCCAGTTTCTGTACAGTGAGCTATGAGTTATATAACCGGCTCACTCAGTATAATATTCCCTTAACTTTAAATTTTCTTTCTTTCCTCAAAAAAACTAAAATAATTCAGAAACTTGTATATTGTTAGGTATGAAATCTTGGCCCTGAATAATACCTTCAAAAATTACTTAAACTGAAATCAAACAGCATTTTTTTATACTGACCTCCATACTTTTACAAGTGAGGCATAGTTAATGTTGCAGGTGAGATGGTAAAGAGGTCAGGTGAGGTGGTACAGAGGTCAGGTCAGCAAGTGGTATATATTGTACAGTACTGACAGCTGTGCTAGAGCCTAGAGGCGACCAGCTGGCTGCCTGCGTGTAAACAAAACACGCTTACCAACAGTCACTCCATTACCTATTTTTATTTTTTCCCCTAATACTACAAATTTATTATCATTAATTTCCAATAAATAAAACTGTTAAGTAGTTTTCTCATTTTCAATCAACAATAGTTATAAATATATCATAATTTTAAATTTTTTTGGTAAATAATTTAAGTTTGTTAAGCCAAGATACAGAGAATGGTCACGGTGTTGTAATACTGAAGGGAAGACTATTGCAACATGGCATGGAAGGTCATCCTATTGTGCTAATCCACGTTCATTTAATTTCTCAACCACGATTATGAGCAGAACTTGGCTTAATGGACACTTAAATACTTTTGTAGTAAATATTCCACATAATTTCTGAAGATACTGAGGAAACGACGGGCAAAGATCTACTTTATTAGATTAAGCTGCCACCACCCCTTAATGACCAACTATGTTAGTGATTGTGGGGACGCAATTATTAACTTCAAGAGTCAATGTGTTACAGGTCACTTCGTATTCTCTCTCATAAGTGATGCAATGGTAAAGATAGATAAGCACATTACATGTTCTATAGTTATTTACAAAATAACTGGATCACAGGAGGTGGACAGTTATAGTAAGAGGATTCACTATGAAATGTACTACAGGCTTACCTTTAGGTCAATCCACTTAAAAACTCTAAGGGTGATTTCGCCAGTCCGCGAGTATCACAGCGAATGTTGGTGTGGACTGAGGGTGGTGCGACACAGCCTCTCTGTACGATGTCTGCTCGCACTCTGAGTTAAACATATGGATCACATCTCTAAGATACTGCACCCTACAGTCAAGACTATTGATAGGGCACCATCAGTCACCAACGGACTGGCCATGGCACTGGGCCACTTGGGCCAGACTCGCTCCAAAGACTTATCAGCATCAGGAATGGAAATCTGTTTTGCACTTTGATACAGCTGAAACTTCCTGAAACCATTACTAGATATCCCCTGTACTGACAACACATTAGTCAGCACCCTACCTTGACAGATCCACCCTACCTTGACAGATTCATCCTACCTTGACAGATTCATCCTACCTTGACAGATCCACCCTACTTTGACAGATTCACCCTACTTTGACAGATTCACCCTACCTTGACAGATTCATCCTGCCTTGACAGATCCACCTAACCTTGACAGATTCACCCTACCTTGAGATTCACTCTACCTTGACAGATCCACCTTGCCTTGACAGATCCACCTTACCTTGACAAATTCACCCTACCTTGACAGATTCATCCTACCTTGACAGATTCATTCTACCTTAACAGATTCACCCTACCTTGACAGATTCATCCTACCTTGACAGATTCATTCTACCTTAACAGATTCACCCTATCTTGACAGATTCACCCTACCTTGACAGATTCACCTTATCTTGACAGATCCACCTTAAAGACAACTAATTTGACATGTTCTAAGTTTCCTTATCGTCTTCCCACTTATTTTGTGAATAAGTAAGAGCTTAGACCCTCAGACTAGATAGATAGATACATAGACCTGTGCCCGGGTGGGCTAATCCCCTAAAAAAAGATAGGGTTCGAATTCACAGGGGTTCATCTTGGTGTGGGTTCACAATACTCATCAGGATTTGGGTTCACTAGAGCTCATTAGGGTTCGAATTACACTATCTTCTCAAAGGTTGCACTATGAGTATTCTTCTTTACCTTACTCAAAATACAATAAAAAATAATGAATGACAAACAGTAATACAAAACATAAAATTGATGTTCAAACTTAGCAATAAAATTCATAATATAAATAATCTTGATAAAGGGGAGGGGGTGTCCAAGAAGTTGTGGGAAGAACATTGCGACTTGCGAGGCATGCGAGCACAGCAATCCCATCCAGCTGGGTCATTTTGATGTCATGTGCACTTGACATTCGGAGATGTTCTGAGGTCAATAGTAAATACTTTTTACTATACAAAAACACCTGAATACAGCGGTAGGGGTGTTAGTGGTACAGCGGTAACGCGCACAGCTCTCACTAATATGTCAAGGGTTGGAGCCTCCACACACACGTGACCCTCACTACCCTCACAGGTTACCCGGTCCCCGATTGCCTCCTGTACTAACACTGGATGAAACGGCTAGTAAGCGAATATGATAAAAAAAATACTGTATTAAGAAAAATTATCGGAATTTTCTGGTAAAAGGAGGCTACCTTCCTACCGATAAAGACCACCAGTCCTCCCTTTACACCACTAGTAATAAAGCTAGGATTCCATTCACGCGTTTGCATTTGCAGTGCGATTAGCATGTACTGTAAACGCATAACGCTGTGGCAACCGTACCAATGTTAACAACCACGTACAATTCAATGTGATCTATTTTTTACGCTAACGCGTGAATGTAATCGAGCTTCATAATCTATACATGAGTCACACCGGTGTGGAATGACGCCTTATTCGAGGTGCTGGGTCACAATGTTACTCTAGTGTTACTGTGTAGGTGTCGTAGTCCGAGTCTAACAGCAGCAGCGTGTAATGTTAAGTATTAAGTGATAGTGAAAAGTTTGGTGTTTGCTGTGTATGATATATGGTGTTAGATAAGAATGCTACTTGTGGCCTTGGACGGACGCAATTCTCTCAGCGATTCTGCAACAAACAACTCCACTAAGACTTGTGATTAACAGTTATGGCAGCGCCTTTTCGGTGAGGACAGCAATTTTTACATTGCTATTTGTTCAAGTAACATTTTGGTCTGGTAAATGGGTAAATGTTCCCAGGGTACACTATGACGATACGTCGTAATGCAACGGTGCCAAATCAATGCTGGCGTTGGGTTGTAGTCTTTACTAACTTTGCAGTATTACATTTGTTACCTGATAAATAAGAGTGAATAAATTTCTGTTAATTCATGATAATAGGCAGGTTTCGATTTTCCATAAAAATACGTTTTTCACATAGTTGAGACTATTATAAGACACTTTTCTTTGGCATTTCCGTCGGAAATTTAAAATTTTCGAGTATTTTAATAGAAAAAAATACCAACAATATTACTTGTTTAAAGTGGGCAGGGCTTTGAAGTCCAAGGAAAATGTTGGGTAAGATACTAAAAAATCTGTCCGACTAATTACCCAAATGTAGCCGGAATGACGTCAAATAATGGTCCTACATGAATAAACCGGACTGATAATCACTTCTCGACTAATATTTGGTGTCAGAAAGTCACAACAAATTGGTAAACTCAATTTAATCTGAGTTAATAGATCGCGTGCATGTACCGACGGAGCGAGGAATTACCCAAATGTAGCCGCAATGAAGTCAAATGATGGTCGTACAAGCGTAATTCAGGCTGTGAATCACTTTTCGATTATTATTTGGTGTCATAAAGTAAAAAAAAATTGGTAAACTTAATTTAATCTGAGTTGTGTTGTGTTAGGTTAGGTTAGATTAGATTAGATTAGATTAGATTAGATTAGATTAGATTAGATTAGTTAGGTTAGGTTAGGTTAGGTTAGGTTAGGTTAGGTTAGGTTAGGTTAGGTTAGGTTCATGCACTTGATCTATTAACTCAGATTAAATTAAGTTTACCAATTTTTTGTGACTTCGCGACACCAAATACTAGTCGAGAAGTGATTGGCAGTCCGATTTATTCATCTAGGACCATTATTTGACTTCATTCCGGCTATATTTGGGTAATTAGTCGGACCCCTAAAAAATAGGTGAACGGAAATAAAGTACTTGTACACATTGACAACACAATATATATATATATATATATATATATATATATATATATATATATATATATATATATATATATATATATATATATATATATATATATATATATATGATAGTATTGCACGTAGGTTAGGTTAGGTTTTTTCCGTGCCTTTTTTTTTTTCCCTTTTTCTTGTGATTTTTTCCTGGATTCTGAAAATAATACCGAACAAACCTAAGAAAACCTCTAGCTATGCCAGTGCTTCATAAGGGGGTCTGTCCATATCGTCAACAACCTGCTTCATCACCATATTTTAAACTCGTTTCGTAACCACTGCTTTAACCCCTTTCGTCACCCTGTTCATTCCCATCATTATATACACGAAAATAACTGTTGTTTGGGATATAAAATAAAAAAAAACATCAAGACAATTTATTAAAAATGAAAATAAATAATAAAAACATTGTTAATATGCCTGCAATCACAGTGAGTGAATTACTCACTCTGTGAGTAATACTGTAGTGGATTTCTCCCCTACAAACGCTGTTTGTCGCTGAGTAGCCGACCCCGCGAATTCCCCAGTGTATGCCTCGTGGTCTGGGTCAACCAGCGCCGCCATACATCACGGAGGTCAACTACTAAGCCTTGCCTACCCCCGCTATTTAAGACCTGACCTCGTGGTGACCTCTCTCTTCTTCTAGCTACAGCCGCAGCAAGCAACACCACCACCTCCTCCGCCGCTGCCTGGTGGCCTTCGCTCCCGCCGGCGAGCATGGCGACCCACAAGCTGGTCCTCCTCTGAGCACCCTCACCAACCAGCTCTCTCTACATCACGCTTGTAACCACGCTGCCACTTCCCAGCACCAAGCTGCATTGTACATCCAATACAACATGTATACAGAGAGCACATTGTGAGTTTCCTTTCTCCATCCCATCCTGAGTGTGAACCAAACATCTCGTACCCCACAATACGCCTGCAATCATGTCACTGCTCGGTGGTTCATGCGCTCGTGCCAAATCACCTTCATGAGTTCTGTATTATGTTTGCCAATGTTTTAATAATTTTATTTATTAAATAATTACCCGGTAATATCATGTATAATAATAACACAATACTTCTCGAGTCGTCTGTACACATGTGTAATTTCTATTTGTGTAAAATAATAAGTTACAATTTGTTACTAATACCAGCGACTGTTAGTGATGATGAAACGGAATTGTTATTGGCGACGAAATGGCGCATATCCCATCATAGTACTGAATAATCTTTCTTCTCGATTGCCATATCCACTTTGTGGTAAAAGTTTACTTTCACGCAACCATGGAATCTTAGGAGTTTTATCTTTGCAATCAATAGTTTGATCAATTCAAAGACACTTTTCATCTATGATATTTCCCTCGCCAATGACCTAAAATTAACTAACCTAACCTAATCTATCCTAACCCAACCTAACCTATGTAAAATTAGCATTGTGGTTATCCAGCAAAGAACAACTGTGCATGTGTCCAGGAGGGTGTTAACATTAACCATAAATGAAAAAAATCTTTGTTTTTCTAAAAATGTACAGTAGTGTGATTTTCTCTGAAAGTATTAATGAGCAGAAAAAACGTGTCTTAGAATTATATTAACTACTGATTAAAAAAATAAATATATTAAAAATCGCTGGATCCCCGAAACGATAATACAGTACTGTAAGTCCTCGCTTAACGTCGGGGTTACGTTCCTAAAAACGTGACTTTATACTAAACAACGTTAAGCAGATCAATTTTCCCCATAAGAAATAGATAAAATATGGGAGTTACATTCCTGAGCCTCCCTTTGCCCCATGAAATACATTATATATATACAGAAAATCATTGCCATTTCTATAGAAAATAATGCATACATATACGACTACTACGTTTGTATTGGTACTCACCGATGGGCGGAGGTGGTGGGTAGTGAGGCGGAGGAGGCGAATTGCGGGAGGGGAGGAGTATGGTGAGAGCAAAGGAGGGCAGGAGAGGAGGAGGTTGGTGAGTCACTGAGACTCTGCGGCTGCCGGGAGAGCGTAGCGCGGGTGATGCGCCGTAGAAAGTAATCTGTGACAACGCAAAACGACCTAGTATCGGGTCACCGGGACATTAAACGAATTTTTGGTCTCTAAAGTTTAGCGACGTATAGTACCAAAATAACGTTAAGCGGGTCGACGTTAAGCGAGTACTTACTGTAATACTCATTACAACTGGGCATCAATGGGCTCATGAATGTACCGTACCTAAACATGCCTTAGTGTTGGTTAAGTCTGGAATTAAAGGAGCTCACACTTAGTGGTGACAATTAAACTTCTCTGGCAGGTTACTCACAACCCTAACTCCAGTGAAGCTATAGCACTGACTAATGAAGCTATAGCACTGACTAATGAAGCTATAGCACTGACTAATGAAGCTATAGCACTGACAGTTTTCTGTGTTGATAGCTTCTTTAACTTGAGGCTGTGACCTCTAGTGGGGTGACCATCTGCCAACTCAAAATACTGTACTATACTGTATACAGTATACATTTGAGTAGTGTTCTTTGAAGAGCTTATAAACTATTATTACAGCGCCAAGTGAGGGAGCACTACACCCTTGAAAAGCCTTGTGAGAGACAGTCATGTGTTGGATCTTTGTGTAAGTCCTACTTCGTGTTCGATTTTCGCTTTATCCTCTTGGCCACTGATTGGCTCATTAGCAGCTTGGACGGTTGGTCACGTGTCTGTTACACAGTGTTGGCAAGTATATGGCACGCACTGCACCAGTGTTGGTCAAGTCTGGTCTTGAAAGAGCTGACACTCGGTGCTGTCACAACACTCTCTGGCAGATTGCTCCAAGAGTTCACAATTCTCACTCTTTTTGAAAAAGTTACCCCTCACAATTTTCTGGACTTGTGGCTTCTTCAACCTTGAGCTGTGACCTATAGTGGGGCGAGCGTCATACGAGTTTATTAACAAGATTCACCTTACAGTGATCCGAAAAGTTCTCTGTTATGTAGGTACAGTATATTCTGTTTAGAAACATCTATTAGTACTTGGCCCTTTTAATAGCAATACTTTTGTTAGGTTAAATTACATCTAATGTAAATATTCTTCTCCAACAGATGTTGCTGGCACCTGTGACAAAATGTAAATCTTTATATCTGTCTGCCCACTGAAGCACTGACAACGACTTTTACAGAGTTACAAACGTACATGGATTGATTTTGAGTATGTCTTTCGAACGGAGTGATGATGGTCTGGGGGTTAAGGATTATCGCTTTTTCCGACTGTACAAAGTGATCAACTGTGAGGCACGTGAGACTATGTACAGTTTATACCTTTGGGGATGCAAAAAGAAACTGGATGAGACCTTAAAAGAATATCTTGAAAGAGACGGAGTTAATAAGAGTAATTACAAATCTTTATTTCATGACAAAATCATGAGGAATAGAATTGAAAATGATGCGGCAGGAAATACATTTGATGTGAGCTTATTGTATGCCTGCATCAAAAGTGTCTGTACATGTCTAGCTAATAAAGATAGTCCTGTCTGGCATGAGGGAGATGACACAAAATTAGAGTCCATCTGCACAGCCATCAAAAACTTCAGAAACAACTTAATCCATTCTCCCCCTGAAATGGCTGATGATGCTGAAATGAACAGTTTACTTAAAAAACTGGAGGACTGGCTTGAGAAGGCGCTACAGCTGGGTGGAAACCTCTACAAAATTTCGGGAATTGAAGTCTGTGAAAAAATTCGAAATATGAAATCTAACATAAATAAAATTATGAATAATCCCTTGACTATGATAGACATTGATAAGTACAAGAAAGAAGTGGAAATGTTGAGGGAGAATAAAAAGAAAATTGTAATTCTAGAGGGAATACCTGAACTTGCATATAAATATAAAAACAAATCCAAGATCGATCCAGCATCATTCATTACTGGCAAAGAAAGATTGCAAGTGAAAAAAGTCTTCACTCAACTAGAGATTATCAAAGAACAACAAGACGATACATTCAGTTGTCCAAGTGTTGACTACAAGACAATGCTTGAGCTTAAAACACAGAGTGACAAGAAACCAAGAGTTATACTCCTGGAGGGTGAGGCAGGTGCTGGGAAAACAACATTGACTAAACTTATATTAGATGACTGGGTAGAATTGAAGGACTCTGGTGACACTGAGTTCTCACCTATATTCCAGGGCCTCAAGTCATATGATCTGGTTCTTTATACTGAAGCCAGAAATAAATCATTGTCCAGTTTTTTATCATTACTTACCGTACTTATGTCACAAGCATCCTATAAGATGGAAGATTCTGACTTAGTGAGATCTGTTCTTAATCTAAATGTTTTACTTATAATTGATGGCCTTGATGAAATGAATGAAGCGTCTGGACAATTGATACGTGAAGTATTTGATAAGCACATACCAGGGAGTAATGGTATGCTTCAATTGTTGGTAACTACCAGGCCAAATATGTTACCTGACATTCCCACCTTACTCCACAATGAGCCTAGAGTACACATTCTGATTAAAGGAGTTACACAGGAAAACAGAGTAGAATTTGTATCAAAGCTTCATGATGAAATGTTGGCAGAAGGGCAAAGCAAACAGAAAACACAGGATTTAATCGACTTCATGAAACAGTCACAGACACGATTGGGTGAACAGTACAGATTACCCCTAAACTTAACCCTTGTGACCTATCTCTTTGCTTCTGATCCTGATCGTATCAACTTGGTGACATCATCCACAGGACTTTACATTGCCATGCATGAACTAATTCAATCTCGCTTGTTGAACAGACTCAAAGATCAAGGCGAAGCTTCTGCAATGCCTACTTGTGATTTGGGAGACAAATGTCAGAAGTTTTTAAAGAAGCTTTACCATGTTTGTTTTGTGACTCATTCTTCTGGACACATACAACTGTCCAGTGAATCTACAGATCTGTTAAAAAACGAGTGTGAAAAGCTGAAGCTAAAACACGATGAGATGTATTCTGCCTTTCTTGCTGTAGAAAGAGAATGGACTCCAGGAGGCTACAAACTTGATCTCTTTGTCCCACATAAAAGTATAATGGAATTTTATGCTGCTTATCAAATTTTTATATCCAAATTTGAGAGTTCAGATGAGGAATTACTGGTGAAGGAAATGCAGCAACTTTTAATTGACTCTGGTCATGTATCTAAAGAGGACCAAGATAAAATTTTAATGATTATAAAAGGCGACAACAAAAAATCATTTTCAATACAGGAGATAATGGAAAACCTTCTTGAAAGTGGCTCAGATCTAGGAAAACTTACTAATTATCAGAATGTGCTCCTGTACTTGAGTGGACTAATAGCTTACAACCATCCTGACAAGCTGAAACACAGTGCAGTAGAGCTGGTGGACCTGCTAGATGAAGCAAATGTACAGAACAAGCAGTGGTTGGACATTGTGGCAGAAACCAATTGTGATGACGTGATGACTGACCTCGTTTCAAAAAAAATCTACAATGTAAGTAAACAAAATAATATTATGTTGATATTTTGTCCAAAAAAATCTGTTTATTGAATACTATATGGTTCATCAACTATGGGTCCTTGCACTACTGTGAATAGTCACCTGTGTACCACTAATTACTACTGTACTGTAGTTACTTTAGTGTCCTTCCATCATTCTGTAGACTCTCTAGTTAGTCTTCATTCCCCTCCTCAATTTTACTCTATGCATCTTCAGAATTTTCTAGTTTCTCCATCTTTTGTGTTTAGCCATCACATCACATCACCTCATATATATATATATGATGTGATATATACACCTTAGTACAGTAACCTCCATCCTTTAACCTTACATCCTTGTCTTCATCCATCATGATTGCCTGTACTTGTACTCTACGAGTCAACCTAACAAGTACATGTATATTACAGGCATCCCCTGGTTTATGGAAATTCGCTCTTACGGATTTTGTAAATTATGACCAATAAATTTGCCCTTACGGAAATTTGGTAAATTTTTAAGTTAAAAGTTTTGTTTCAATACTATTAGGAAAAAATTCACAGAAATTATACACTTTATTTCGTGTGTATTTCTTGGTGGTTGGTACAGTACTGTACAGGACGAGCAAGTGGTGCCCCTCCGTCTCCCTTCAAATAACTTCGATTGCACTGCCTTACCTCACCTAACACAGCACTCAACATCGTTTGTGTTAAGTTAAATTTAAGTGTTTTGTATATTTAATATCATATTATATATCATTAAATAATCAATGTACCGGGTATGTGTTAAAAAAAATTATTTTCATTCATAAATGTGCTTGTATTACGTCTTTTGCCGAAAATATTTCCTTGGGAACGCATCTCCAATTATATACTGTAGTGGAAGTCAATGGGAAAATTGGTTTTGCGTTACAGAATTTCACGTTACGGACAATTTTTCAAGGACACATACCTTCCGTAATCCGGGGTATGCCTGTGCTGTACTATAACCATGGCTTATACAGTACATTATTTATAATTATGGTTTTTAAAGCACCAGCATTTTTTTATTTTTTACTAATTAAATGGAGTGAGAGAGGAATTATTTTGGAACATCTTGCCAGAGAGTGTTGCCAACACTGAAGCAGGTTCCTATATATTCAGGAGCCAGTACTTGCCAACAGTGCGTAACAGAGACGTGACTGACCACCCAAGCGGCTAATGAGCCGATCAGTGGCAAAGCGGATAAAAGTAAAGTAAATTAAAAGTGATGGCACTGAATATGAGTGCCTTCAAAACCAAACTTGATCAACACTGGTGCAGGTTCAGATACATTCTGGAGCCATTACATGTCCAGTACATGCCAACAGTGTAAAACAGAGATGTGACCAAGTGGCTACCAAGCCAATTGGTGGTAAAGAAGATGAAGTAAAGTACAGTACAGTAATAACTAAATACTGTACAGTACAGTACAGTACCAGTATAAGGTATACAGTACATGCAAGTGTGAAGTACAGCCCCAATATGGAAACTAACCTTAATGTTACAACTCTCCTCTGCTACATTCTGTACCTCTTCAATGCTGTCCTGAGACTTACACAATTAAAATGGCTACAAAAGCAGTTATGCTAGACCTTCTACAAAGAACCCTTTCACCACACCTATAAACAAGGTTTCATTTTCCAACTGTACAATGTACAGAATGTTTGTGTACCTCCACCTGGCCAGGTGTGATCACTATGCTTGACCAAAAGGTTCTTCAGTAGTGTAACTTTGTTGCCCTATGATGAACATCAGCACCTTTGTGGTGACCTGATGAAATCATATAAGATTTTAAACAATGTAGATAACTTAAAGAGGCAAAATCTTACACAAAGTGTGATAGTTTGCTTGTCTTTAAAACCTTACCTTTGAAGGTCTTACATTTCTTAATGTTGCCTGAATAATGGTTTGTATTTTGGTACTGCACTGTGTTGTGTTTGGGATGTTTTCCTGTGATGCATTATGGGTCATTTTCTTCACAGTCTCTGCTTATAATATTAGCTAGTAAGAGGCACTTGTAGCTGATAAGCTCAAGACTTTATGAAACTTATGATGTTGAGTGAAAGTGATGTGTTTTTCAGCAACTTGTGGTGCGAGATGGTCACACTAAAGCAGCACTCAAGATGTTTGATTGTTTGTCTACCAATGTTTCTGTTCAAGTAATCTTAGAGAATGAGGTGTGCTTCATCCCTTACCTGGAAGAGCTGATAGATAAACTTTCTGGCAGGAAATGTCATGTTGAGTTTCTCCTGAAACATCAGTGGAAGCACAGTCAATATGGCACTTCAGATACACTCCTTAAAAACCTAACCAAAGAAAAGGGAGAAAACAGGTTAGAGAAGTTAACTGTTTCTCATTTATATTGTAATAAACCGTATGATACAGTGAAAAAGAATGTTAAAGACCTGTATTTAAAGTTTCAAAATACTGTAATCATAAATAACTGAAATTACAGATGCAGAGTGATACGCTTTACTGGTCATCTGGAAGATTTGACAGTGTTACCAAAAGAGATAGAGAACCTGCGCATTACAATATCCAACAATTATCATGCTACAGCAATAGGTGATCAGCTGACTGCCCTGGCTAAAAAACAACACCTTGATCACCTGGGTGAGTACAGTACAGTGCTATATGTACAGTAAAAAAAAACATAATTCAAAATAATAGGAGCTCTAACCCTCACAAATTATGAGATTTTACGAAATATGAGGTGCACCTTCGCCCGTGGAAAAACAACAACAAAACAACGGTACTTTTCCATTGTCTGCCCCAATCAAAATTTAAACGTTTCTAAGTTCAGTAGCAGATTTAGGTGTTTGGGTCTGGGGTTATCAGACATAATGGCTCATACACTGAGCAACGATGGAAAAATAAGTGGGAAAAAGCTTGAGCGGCAGACCGTTGATGTACACTCCGTGAACTGGCTGTGGCCGACACCTATGATGCATATGTACAGTATTTTCTCGATTTAACGAACTAATTCAAGCACCCCCTTCCATTAAATCTAAATATCTGCTAAAATAAATTTCCATTATTTTCGCGTGATTCTGTTAAATTCAGCTCCAAATGCACCGCTTGGGGTTTGTTTACATCCACTCGGTCTGTGTCCTGTTGCCACCGGGTGTGTTGTTCACTGCTACCTCTCACCCAACTAACTACTGTGCTTAGACATTATGCCGAAAGTCTCTCAGAAGTCTCAGAAAGGAAGTGGTGTGGGGGAGAAAGTCAAAAAGAGTGCAGCTATCAATTGGAAAAAGTTTTGAAATTATAGAAAATAAATTTAAAACAAACACCGAACCCCCAAGTTTAAGGTCAGCCATGAATAATGTTTCTACGTACATATCATGTGCCCGAGGTGCCTCTGTAGGTGTGAGTGTTAGCTGACTTAGTAATCTTGATTTAGTGAACTCATGGTATTATCCACTAGTACATTACAGTATAGTGTATGTTGTTTTTAGTTTAGGTGATTGTCTTTACATAATGACCACGTCTGGTATTGGAAGCCTTGAGATACCTGTGTCAGCACCTCAGCATCTTAAAATAATATATTGCAAAAAAGTTACAAAGAAGCCAGAAAAAATTCTGTATCGTAAGATTTTTTGTTTACATAAATCGAGATATTTTTCCGTCACGTCAGATTTTCATTAACCAAATCTTTGTAAAATGGGGACTGCCTGTATTCAGTGATACATTACAGTACAGTATTGTATAGTAATAATAAAGGCAAAAAGGTACAATGGCTGACCTTTGAGGGAAGATGACTAAACCTGTATGGGTAGTGACTCCATGAAAACAGTAGCTCACCTTCTGTCTTTGTGTGCCCAGCCACTACATGTACATAAACAATCATAACAGTTGATCATTTTACATGCAGCATTGTTGCATATCTTCATGCTAAGCATTCAAAATATTTACACTCAAAATCCCATCAGGTTGCAGCTTTGATCTCAACATTTATTTCTCTATGCCTTGAATATTACTGGACCTTTTCCTTAATTTCTTAGGCCTCTATAAGTATATTTTGACACACACCCTCACTACAGGTGTACACGTGATGATGGGAGTTTCACCAGAGATGCTGCAACCATTACCAGTAGTGAAGAGCAAAAACAAGGAGGTTGGCACCCTGTGGATATCTGATGTGAAAGTACAAATGGAGTGGGCATGTAATGTGGCCAGAAAACTCTTGCCAGAAGGAGGGTGAGTCACTCATCACATGGAAATCAATGATAATTTCATTCTAGAGATTTTACATCAATTACAGTACAGTATGTAGTGTATCACAACAATAATCGTTACATTCAGATTAGTATACTGTATAAGAATACAGTACAGTGCACCATTCTTAGAATGCTCAAAACAACACCATAATACAGTACTGTACAGTAAAGTGTCTGTCAACAAAAGTTTGGCACCAAGAGGCTTCTGTAAAATGAATAATTCCAAAAAGTGGATAGTTCTAATGTACAGTACCGTGAACGGGTGTCCACGGAAAGCATGTAATATATCATAGCACCTGTGTCAATCTGGTTATTTTATTAGTTTCTGCAAATACCTTTACACTAACTTATTATCTCACTCTCAATGTTGCAAAGTCTACAAATAACTTTCAGTGTGTTATCATTCTCTTACAATCACAATATAACTTACTCCTCAAATTCATGTAAAGACAAGTAGACTCATCACACACAGTCACTGAGCCATGCAGTTGCCTCATTGACCAATTCTTCTCATTTACTCTCATAAAATACCTGGTGTGTGAAAAATTAATTAGAAAAGACAATTGTTCTGTATACTGTCTAAATTTCACATTTAGAATGCTCAAAATTTTCTTGAAATAGATTTTTTGTAAAGTAGGTTTTTGGTTGACAATTCTTCACTGCACTTTACTTTAAATTATTGTAATACTGTATTGTTGTGTTTAACAATGGTTGTACAGATTCTGGGGTGAGGAACCCTTGTTTTTCCTAACCTGTACAATCTACTTTGATTGAAAAATTCTAAATTTTTACGTCCCTAAAGGTGACTGTTCATAAGATCTTACCGGAGAGCTTGAGACTCGCATTCATAAGAGCTTGAGACGCACACTCATAAGAGCTTGAGACTCACACTCATAAGAGCTTGAGACCCAACATTCATAAGAGCTTGATACCCAACACCATAAGAGTTTGAGACCCAACACCATAAGAGTTTGAGACCCAACATTCATAAGAGCTTGAGACCCAACATTCATAAGAGCTTGATACCCAACACCATAAGAGCTTGAGACCCAACACCATAAGAGTTTGAGATCCAACATTCATAAGAGCTTGATACCCAACACCATAAGAGTTTGAGATCCAACATTCATAAGAGCTTGATACCCAACACCATAAGAGTTTGAGACCCAACACCATAAGAGTTTGAGACCCAACATTCATAAGAGCTTGAGACCCAACATTCATAAGAGCTTGATACCCAACACCATAAGAGCTTGAGACCCAACACCATAAGAGTTTGAGATCCAACATTCATAAGAGCTTGATACCCAACACCATAAGAGTTTGAGATCCAACACATAAGAGTTTGAGACCCAACATTCATAGAGCTTGAGACCCAACACCATAAGAGTTTGAGACCCAACACCATAAGAGATCAACATTCATAAGGTTTGAGATCCAACATTCATAAGAGCTTGATACCCAACACCATAAGAGTTTGAGACCCAACACCATAAGAGTTTGACCATAAGAGTTTAAGAGACCCAACACCATAAGAGAATTTGAGACCCAACACCATAAGAGTTTGAGATCCAACATTCATAAGAGCTTGAGACCCAACACCATAAGAGTTTGAGACCCAACATTCATAAGAGTTTGAGACCCAACATTCATAAGAGCTTGAGACCCAACACCATAAGAGTTTGAGACCCAACATTCATAAGAGTTTGAGATCCAACATTCATAAGAGCTTGAGACCCAACACCATAAGAGTTTGAGATCCAACATTCATAAGAGCTTGAGACCCAACACCATAAGAGTTTGAGATCCAACATTCACCATGGTCACCCCTATAAAACCTCCCTCTGTAATTGATCAGAGATGTGCAGTAGTGAAGTAACTATATACAGAACCTTTACAGTATTAAAGTAATATTTTTCAAGTTTGACTTTCTATAAAGTACCAGTACTGTACATCTGTTTGGGAATACATTTACTCTAACTCAAGTACATTTGAGAGAAAATATTGCACTTTAACATGATTACATTTTTACTAAAGTTTGTAAAAAAAATATATACAGTAGTATGTATTTTAGATATAGCTTGTGCTTTCATGTGGCTTGTGGGATATTGAGTGTGTCAGGGATTATCCCACAATTCTGCTACAGTATTTCAAAACTGATTTACTTCACAGGCAGTACTGCAGCATCATGTTCCCACGCAGCCTTATAAGTTTTGATAATTGTAAGGATCTGCTCAAAAGACTACAGGAGATGAAAGTCAAAGTGCGCCAAAAGGGTGGAATCCGACTCTACTCCCCTGGTCTCACAGCCAAGCAACAGCGTGACCTTCGAGAAATGGCAAAGGAGAAACTCGACTGTGTATTTTACTGGTTAGTCTAATAGCAGCATATAAAGTTCTTTAATAAATATGCCAGTGTTGTTTAATATTGTTGAGCACTTAAAGATGTGGAGATGATTAGTGATGTGGTTGAGGGAAATTCTGTATATAAGTTAATAATAATTGATAATACAGTATCTTTAGTGAAACATATTTTCACTCCAATGTGCTATGATAAACACATGCAACAGAGAAGATCTCTCATGTGATTGCACTTGAGTGGCCATTTACCTTGTATGACCATTTAAGAGTGAGTGATCAGGACAGTAAACCATTAATAACCTTGGACAGTCTCAAACATGTGAATTTCTTGAAAGTGTTTCCCAGAGCTTGAAATAAAACCATTTATGGTCATTATAGGTAAATGCAGGTACTCCTCGTCTTACGACCACCCTGACATACGACCACCGCAGTCGTACAAAATTTTTTTCAAATTACGTATTTTCGAGTCCCAACGTTAGTGATTGCGCTGTGTACTGACAAAATTTTCGTTTGTAATTCCCTTTAAAATGGCTGGCAAGCTTAAAAGTTAGAGTTTTGTGGTGCTGAGAAGAAAAAGAGACACCCATTTTAGATTTTCTATGTATTATTTTTGCATTTTTGACTTACGACCTGGTCGTCGGTCCCTAACCCCGTCGTAGGTCGGGGACTGACTGTAGTTATGAGCATTTTATAAACAATGACAGTACTCCATTGTAATTAAATTTTCACTAAACGTTAAGAAAAAATGGTGACACTGATAGTATACAAGTAAATCAGACAATTGAAGATATTCTAGTTTGTCTTGGTAAGTGAAGTGTCTGAGTTTGGTGGCCCCCCCCCCAAGGATGTTCTCCATCAACGAGCAGTCTAAGAAAAACTATATATTGACCCTCGAGAAACTTCTCTGGCCATGCAGAGGGAGGGAGGAGGGGGAGATAAGGAGACTGTTGGTTTGACAGCTGACTCTCGTGGTCCCTACACACTTAGCAGCTAATTTTAGCTCGCCTTTGTGTCCGAAGTGGCCAATATTGTATGTATTTACTGATCTTAATACTTATTTGCTATAAATAATTAATTTAAATATTTTATTTGCATAATTTTTCATAAAAAAGTGCTTGGCAACAATCACCAGTCTTTGTGTTTAGTAGAGCAAGTAATGCATAAAATAATAATAATTCCACAAATAAAAACATTTATAACATAATCATAGCATTGTTTTACCGTAATACAACTACACAACTTTTAGCAATATTACTTTGATACAACATGATAAAATGGACAAACAATGAAATTGAAACAAACAAAAGTAGGTGTGGTGTGAGAGGCAAATAGTCACACTGGAACCTGATAACCCACGCTGGGCATTAAAACAGTGGCGGGAATAGGCACACGTTCTGGAACGTCACCCGGGGCCTAAGGGTTGAGGAATGTTTTCACAGAATGTCAAAGTCAAGTGAGATCCTGCTAAACTAGCAAATGTAAATGTTATGCATTTCCAAAAGGAAGTCATATTAAAGTGGATTTGCATTCCAGCCCCAAAATTTTCTTCCCCAGAACTGAGATGTGTTTCAGCTCACAGAAACTCCAAACCCTAATCTCACCATCATTATCATCAATGTTTTACAGCCATTTTCCACACTTGTGTGGGTTGGCTGAGATTGCAAGATGTCAGCTCTTCTTGCTCTGCAATCTCTTGCATCCTCTTTCTTCATGTTATTAACTCTTGATGTAATTTCTTACAACCTCTCCCCATGTCTTTCTGGGCCTGCCCTTGGCTCTCCTCCCCTCCAGATTTAGATTCATGCATCTTTTCACAAAATTGGTCTCCTCCATTCTCTCCACATGCCCAGACTATCTCAGCCTATCTTTACATGAGGCTTTGCCAATACTTAATAAGGTTTCCTATCTTTCAGTGTCACATTACACATCCACTTTACCATTCTCACTTCAGGTCGTTCAAGTCTGCATCCTCTTTAACCACTCATGTTTCACTACTATATAACATCATATTTCTCATACCAATTACATACATCTTTCCTATCGTGCAGAGGGAAGGTCCTTTTGCTAACAATAAAGGCAGCAACTATCCTAACTTGCTGCAGCCACTACTGATTCTTACAAATGAACTACTGTAGCTTCAGCACCACCCCCTAGCACTAATTATGTCACCCTGGCAGCAGAACTCATCAATGCAGGGAGGTTATTTGCATTCTCTCCTGTGAATACTGAGAGAAAAATTATTTAATGCCTCTGCCTTGTCCTGATACGAGTCCACATAACTACCAGCCCCAAGTTCTTAGCCTTGTAAACTTCTCTTCTGGTTCTGCACTTGGCCTCCAGTTAATCCTCCTCCTTGCCAAATTTAACAATACTCTGCAGCACAGCACCAGTATTCTTAGGAACAGATCAAGGGACAAACAACAAACATACACATGAATAATAATAGATCCCTGTTGTCTAACATTGTGTTTTCCTTATAGCACTGCAGATGACTCGAGCATGTGGTGAGGGGAGGACCTCACTGATGCTGCTGCCAGTGTCACCTGGAGCACCATCCTGTGTTTTACCACAGAAAGAATGTCACCTGTAGTTCTCATATTATCTATAAAGGTGGCATTGGAAAATTAACATTTGGTGATACAGGGTACAGTACTTTACTTAAGGCCCTGTGTTGTAATTGTTACATTATTATGGATCCATATTTTAAAACGTTGAGTCATGTGTCATTTATGATTCTGCAATACCATTAATCTTCTAGTTATGTCTTTCCTAATTATGCTAATTGTTTGTCATGTCTTGAGATTATTTTAATGGCAAGACTACAAGAGTGAGACCACTAGTAGCTGGGTCTCTCTCTCCCCGGTGTCATAGTATTAGTGGCTGTAAATATTTCTAATTATTATATGGACTACACTAATGTATAATAATGATTTTTACTCTGATACAAAATCTAATTGCAATACAGAATGAATTTTTAGACCACATGACAAAATTGTAGCATGATAAAGTCATCTGCTAGTTTGCCCAAACTCTTAGATAACTGATTTCTAAGATTTTATATTGTACGGTACATACTGTATATAGCAACCTCAAGGAAATAGAAACATGAAAAGATCCAAGCGCTTTAGTGATTATTCACATTCTTGGGGAGTACAGAAATGTACAAGACTGAACTGACAAGAGAGAGTTGAGGTAATATATACAGTACTGTATGACAACATTTACCAAGAATAACATTTAAATGTAGGCACTAGAAGAGATTATTACAGTCATTAGATTTTTTATTGATTTTTTAATTACTGAAGTGAATTACTATTTAATGTTACATATAGATATTCATGTCAGATACAGGTACAGTATTTATAATACTGTATGATGAATTAATATTGTAGTCATGCCTTGCAGAAGCTACAGTAGAAGTCCAAAAATCCGGATGCCAGAAATCCGGACCACCTGAGAATCCAGACTTTTTGAAAACACAAACTTTCTAAATTTAGCGGGCTTTTGTGCGTGAGCGCCACAGCTGCACAGTGACAAAAAGCGACCACACGGTCGCCATTTTAAAACGAGCAATCAAACTGTGACAATATATGTAATATTGTGTCCTATCTCTTTCCATTTACCATATATAGCATACATATTTACAAGCCCATAGTAATGGCTCCTAAAGTAGATGAACTTCGTTGTGTGAAGAGAAAGAAGAACACGTTGAAATTGAGTGACAAACTTGAAATAATTAAGAAACTAAAATGTGGTGTGAGCAATACTGATCTAATGGAAACATACGACATCGGAAAGTCTACAATTTACGATATAAAAAAGGCAAAGAATAAAATTCCAGAATTCACAGCCTCGTCTCAGTATTTGCTAATGAATAAACTATCAAAATGTACCTGTTCATCTCTTCTTTATTCCTCCTTAAATTTGAATTTTAAAAGTACTGCCCGAGAATCCGGAAAATCCGAAAATCCGGACCGACCCAATCCCCGAGCAGTCCGAATTTTTGGACTTCTACTGTACTTGCCATGTTTGTGTTAAATATAGCCTACAGTTTATTCTATTAAACAGAGAGTAAACTGCTTGCACTGTACTGCACTGCATAATGCCTAAAACTAAAATTTGTGTACTGAAGTTTGAGAACTTTTATAGAAATTAATTTTAGCTTATTTACCTAATCCCCACCAACTAGAGGTGGCCATGCCGAGGGAAGGTGGCCAGTGTAGGTCGGACCCCTCCAGTGTTCTTGACAATTTTGTCAAGGGTTATTATGAAGCCCAGTACAGTACTGTTCTTGAATTCTTTTTGGCATGATAACTTGGCCAGCTTGAAGTTGTTCCCTCATGTTGGTGGTTCATGACATTGTGGGGGTATAAGATATTGGTTCACATTCAGGATGGGATGGAGAAAGGAAACTCACAATGTGCTCACTGTATACATATTGTATTGGATGTACAATGCAGCTTGTTGCTGGGTAGGCAGCATGGTTACAAGCGTTGAGTAGAGAGAGCTGGTTGGTGAGGGTGCCCAGAGGAGGACATGCAGCTTGAGGGACGCCAAGGTCGCAGGCGGGAGCCGCCAGGCTGGCGCGGAGGAGGAGGTGTTGCTTGCTGGTGGCAGTGAGTAGAAAGAGAGTGGTCACAGTGGTGTCAGGTCTTATAAGGTGGGGGTAGGCGTGGGTTGATATTTGACCCCTGCGCTGGAGGCGTAGGCTGGGGAATTCAAGAAGGTTCGGCTACTCAGCTACAAACGGCGCTTGTAGGGGAAGAATCCACTACAACATCACAAAAACATGGCCTGGGGTCACGTTTTTCATCCCTTTCAAATTTTTTAATGTGTCTATGAGATCTGCCATATTGTGACTTGTCTGAAGAGTTGTTAGTCCTAAGGCCTTCAGTCTACTTGGACAATAAAAATGGCTTCATTCCTGAATCATCTCAGTCACTCTGTGTTTTATTTTTTCTTGTGATGTGAGAACTTTCTGGAGGTAGAGTTTCCATGCCTGTATACAGTAATCCAGGCTGGGTGTACATACTAAAGATTTATAAGTTGAAGGAGCATTTTCCTATCTTTGCACAGTATTCAAAGGTACACTTTATAATTACCAAGTGTGTGTTTTTTCACTGCTGCCCCCACTTTTTTTTATCCTTTTCACCGTTTGGCAGTCAGTCACGTCTGTTACACACTGTTGGCAAGTACTGTACTGGCTCCACAATGTATCTGTACCTGTGCCAGAAAAGGCTGAATGAAAGTTATCAGGTGTTACCTTAGAAGTGTGTTGGTGGGCATTAGGTACTCAGCCTAAGGTTTTATTTCTCTAGTTTTGTTTTATGCTGTTATTGTTTTTGTCAGTTTATCAATTTGCAAGATATATTAAAATATTTGTGCATTTTATACTCCACAATCTAATAAATTACTGTCTGAATTACTGATTACTCTTATCATTCTCCATTACTCACTTGGTAATATAAATGCTAGTTTGGTATGACTTATGGATATGTCCACTGAAATGTACAGTATACTTGCATTGTCTACACAGTATCCATGATGAACTGTATACCTTGTTACGAGTTGGGGATTTAGAATATAGTTATACGTCTACCCAGATCCCAACAGGTAACAAAAAAAAAACAAAAAAAAACAAAGACAATCGGACTATAAAAGGGTAGACAAAGGATGCGAGTTTTCGTTGTGTATAATAAAGTACCATGAATTCCTTAACAAAAATATTCAGCTTATAAATTACCCTTAACCAAACTTAACCTAAACATTAACAGTATATACATATTAATACAACATAAACCATTTTGAAGCAAGTGGACGTGGGGGAGGCAATACAAGATACAAGTACTTAAGTGAGGAGCTGAGATGGCTGACGAGTAAGGCTGAGTATTGTAGAAGACGGTAGGTAGTGCACTGTCCGTAGGTTTAGAGGATAGATGATCCTGTGGTCACTTCCCAGAGCCAAGTGCCGTCTCCTCGAATTGGAGCTCACAAAGAAGACTTGGAGGAAGTGACGCAACAACCAGGATATGGAGAAGGGAAACCCCGGAGGGTTAACTAAGACGAGTCATACTCGTGTCTCGTCCCTAGATGGCGTTGCTCGTGGTGCTGGGTAGGTAGATCAGGACAATAGATGGCGTGGTTCGTAGTGCTGGGTGGAGGGGTTCGTAACAACCTGCATTGTCTATATACACGCTGAACTACCTAATTGCATTGTCTATATACACGCTGAACTACATAACTGCATTGTCTATATACATGCTGAATCAAATGTAAACTTGTATGAAGATTTTACTGAATGGACATCTGTCTATCTATCCATCTATCTATTTTCATGATCAAACCTTTTTAATCTTTCATTTCCTATCCCCATGACAACCATATTCCTACCTCATGACAACCATATTCCTACCACATGACAACCATATTCCTACCACATGACAACCATATTCCTACCACATGACAACCATATTCCTACCTCATGACAACCATATTCCTACCTCATGACAACCATATTCCTACCACATGACAACCATATTCCTACCTCATGACAACCACATTCCTACATCATGACAACCATATTCCTACCACATGACAACCATATTCCTACCTCATGACAACCACATTCCTACGTCATGACAACCATATTCCTACCACATGACAACCATATTCCTACCTCATGACAACCACATTCCTATGTCATGACAACCATATTCCTACCACATGACAACCATATTCCTACCTCATGACAACCACATTCCTACCACATGACAATCATATTCAGTGCTTAAACATTAAAGAGTTTTGGGTACATGGAGATCCTGGCAGTGGTATAGCAATAAAACTTAAAGATTAATTCACCAGAAATTGTTCCTAAAGGTATTGTAGTGGGGAAAAGAAAGGTCAGACCTTGTAATATATAAAGCCTTCCCTGCCTTGAACTTGGGGTAGGGGATTACTGTGGAGTGCATTACAAGTGTGGGACCCAAAGCCGACCAAGAGACCTAAAGAGATTCTGCTTATTCACACACTGCTGTTGTACTGTTAATAAAGAATACAAGTCTCTTATCCCTAAGTGCTTCATCTACAATGATGTAGGTCTAAAAAATTTATGAAAACTCAATACTAAAAACTAAATGAGAAGCCTAGCACTAGAGCCTTGTGTGTGCGTTGCCCTCATGACTGGGACCTCACCATACAAACGGCACGACCCCCGGGCCACACTCGGCGTCGGTGTGAAAGGATCACGTCTACTCCCCTCTGTTCAACAGTGAAAACCTCAACTATGGTCATGTACATCTGACCATATTAAATCATCTATTTGTATATTACCAGATTAGATGAAAACCTTACCTTAATCATCTGTCACTTTAAGAGCGGACTTTTTCACACAATACAGTACAGTACAGTATACTGTTTGAAGGACCCCTCAACTTGTTAAGTGAAACACAAGACAAAGGGAAAGAGAACAATAAGAAGTATTGGTAATATATTGTTACTTGCAAAAGGCATTATAAACTGCTCCATACCAAGTTGCAATAAAAAAAAAGAAATCAAGTCCCACCTGCCAAAAGGGAGCAATTGAGGAAATTCTGCACAAAAAGTGCGAAATTTTCTTGAAAAGTCACCTCCTTATCATGGGACTCCACGATTATGGTGAAAGTCAATGGATGTATAATACATTAAATGACCTTAATAACCCTGCAACTTTTTTTGTAGAAACATTGAGAGACAATTTAATTTACCAGCATATTAAAGACCCAATGTAATATAGAGGTGAACAACATCAAAATCACTGGATCTCACCATAACTGACGGGGAAGGTATGGTGGCCAAATTAAAACATAGAGCCCCTGCTGGCATCAAGTGATGCAGCACTTGAGATTTAACTATTACTTATTACATGATAATAGCAGGTCAAGGCTCAAATACTGTACAGTACATTTATTATAATAGTGATTAGAACAGAAAGTGGGAGGAAACAAGAAGCACGGGATGGCTTGGCTTGATGAGAAATAAAAATGTGAATACTACCCTGAAAATTATAGAGGAAAATACAGTAAATTATTTGATAGACATGTTGGTGGTACAGCACAGTGGTAACACGAGTATGTCACCACTAAGTGGACTCCGGTCAGGACAAAGTGGACACGCTAAATATATTCTTTTCCTCGGTGTTTACGAGACACAAATAACCTAACCTAGTTTTGAGGAAAACCAGTTTGACACAGCACTGATACACAATGAATTCTCAGAAGCTTAACGGTATATTAGAACTAAATTGTCTCAGCTAAGAGTTCATAAGAGGGTATTATTGCATGTGTTGACACCAACTAAATCTTGGGAATTTGACCTTTGTAATCAACAGTTTAGACAATTGTAAGAGACTTTTCTTCTAAGACATTTCCCTCACAAATAACCTAGAACAAATGCAAATGCAATTCCTAACCGGGGGCTCTAGTCCCCCCCCCTGGACCCACTGGCATGTTATAGAGCATTTGCGAGGAAAACACTGTAGTGGATACCTTGTAGTGGATTTCTCCCCTACAAAAACCGTTTGTCGCTGCGTAGCCGACCCCACAAATTCCCCAGTGTATGCCTCATGGTCTAGGTCAACCAGCGCCGCCCACGGAGCGGGGGTCAACTACTAAGCCACGCCTACCCCCCGTTATTTAAGACCTGACCTCGTGGTGATCTCTCTCTTTCTACCTACACCAACCAGCCAGCAACACCTCCTCCTCCTCCGCCTGCCTGGCGGTCCTCGCTCGCGCCGGCGAGCATGGCGACCCACAAACTGTCCTCCTCTGAGCATCCTCACCAACCAGCTCTCTCTACATCACGCTTGTAACCATGCTGCCTTCCCAGCACCAAGCTGCATTGTACATCCAATAC